GCACACAGAACAGCCTGCTAGGGAAGTATTGATTTTTCTACAGCAGTTACAAGATGCTGTGTTTGCAAATGTGGAACAAAGAGCTCACTTTATATTTAGTAGGAATGTGAGTTCATTTAAAAATAGAGAAAAAACTTAACCTTGCAGTAAGATGAGGGCCAAAGGTGGGACACAGTAGTGAAGTCTAACCTCTCTGCAGACTATTCATACTAGTACAAATACCAACAGATAATTTTTTTTTTTTTGGGGGGGAAATGTGTATTTTCCCCTTCTCTTGACAGAGTATTTATAATCCTTCAAGTTAGAAAAATGAAAATGCTGAGAAATAGCATAGTTAGGAAAAGGTGTTCACTTATCACTAGTTGGTCTTTATTCTTTAAAAATAAGTTATTAAACCCAAACCACAATGTGATATCACCTCATACCCATGAGGATGTTGACTATGAACAACAACCACCTTAGAAAGCAGCCAAGTGTTGGTGAGGAAGGAACCCTTATGCTCTGTTGGTGGGAATGTAAAATGATGCAGCAGTTATGGAAAATGATATGGTAGATGGTTGAGTTAAAAATAGAATGATGATCACATGATCCAGCAATTCTTCTTCTGGGCATATGCCTGAAACAATTGAAGGCAGAGTCTCAAGGAGATACCTGTAGACCCATGTTCATAGCAGCCTTATTCACTATGGCCAAAAGGTTGAAGCAATCATGTATCCAAAGATGGATGAATGAATAAAGAGAATGCAGCACATTCATACAATAGAATAGTACTCAACCTTAAAAGGGAAGGAAATTCGGACACACATTACAACATGAAAGAAACTTGAGGGATTCTGCTAAGTGAAACAAAAGTCACAAAAAGACAAATACTGTATTATTCCACTTAAAGTACTAAGAATAGTCAAATTCAGAGCTAGAAAGTAAAATGGGCTGGGGAGGAAGGGGACCCAAGAGTCATTGTTGAATGTGTATAGAGTTTCAGTTTAGCCAAGCAAAAAGAGTTCTGTAAATGGGTGGTGGTTGGAGGTGATTGTGTTATAATGGGAGTGTCCTTAATACCATGGAATGAACTAGGAAATGGTTAAGATGGCAAATTTTATATGTATTTTACTACAATTAAAAATACTTAAAAAATTATTTCAATCATGTGATAGGATAATGTTGTTGTGTCGAATGCTCCAGATGCAATGGAGACAAGGAGCATAATTCAAAGTTTCAATGAAGGGCAAAAGCCTTTCTGTCCCCCAAGAACCACTGCTGTCTCCTAAGGGGGGGAAAAATTCCTGCCTTGTTTACCTGTGGGGTACCACTGGTTGTCTATACACAAGAAACCTTCTGGTTTTCTTCCTATGTCCCCATCGAGGCCTCATATTCTTGGGCTGAAGTATAAAAAAACAGAACCTTTTGATTCACCCCCATAAAGTAAAAAATGGGCACTTTTGACCCTGACTGCTCAAAAGCTCCAAGACTGAGATGAAAGAGGAAGAGAAGGTGCAGCTTGTGTTGCCTGCTTTTGTTGGCTTAATAAATAATTAAAGGGTCCAAATATTCAGGAAGAAATTTAAACTTTCTGTAAGTAAATAGTCATAAAAAACATTCAATACTACAGATAACTTGTTATACAAGTTTAGAACTACAAAATATTTCAAGCACACCCAACTGAGTTTGTCTACTAGTTTGGTGGCTACGGTTAAAAACAACAACTGGAAATTTTAAGTAGTTCCAGGTCTCACAGGTTGAAAAGTTGCTCACAGGTTATTTTCTAGGGGATGTAATGACCAGATTTGAACATCCTTCAGCTTTCTATTTATGTCTGCCAGTACTGGGGACTGATTCAAGTGGCACTTTATCACTGAGTCACATCCCTAGTCCTTTTTGTTTTTCATTTTGAGAAAGGGTTTCACTAAGTTTTCCAGGTTCATCTTGAATTTGCAATCTCCTGCCTCAGTTTCCTGAGTTGCTGGGAATATAGGTGTGTGCCACCACATCTGCTCCACTTTATATTTAAGAGCACTTTAGGGAAAAAGCCAAGTCATTGCCAGCATATGTAAGAATTCAACACATCTAAGCTAAACACCAAAGACAAAAATCTGATTTTAAAATATTGCTCAGTAAAATTGTATTTCCAAATTAGATCAACCAGCAAAAGCCTTTCAGGTGGTAAAAAGTGTATTTCGTCAGACCAGACATTTCCTGTACTCAACTTATTTTCTAAAAGTAAATGTTCTTTGTATCTATTAAAAAGTACTGAAATTGTTAATTTATTAACTCATACAAACTTACTAGCTTTTGTTTTTGTTTTTTTTTAAATATTCATTTTGTAGTTGTAGTTGGACACAATACCTTTATTTCACTTATTTATTTTTATGTGGTGCTGAGGATCGAACCCAGGGTCTTGCACGTGGTAGGCGAGCGCTCTACTGCTGAGCCACAACCCTAGCCCCCGGAACTTACTAGCTTTACTAAAAGACAGTAACTTTATCAGGATTTCTTCTGGTTCCACATATAATGGAAAAAAGTTTAAAATGCAAGTTTTTAACAGTTGTAGACCCCTCTTTCCTGTTTCCCAAATAACTTGCACATAGTCAATACTTTATGAGTTACTGGTCTATAAAATTAAAACATGAAAATGTATAAATTCTTCAGCATTCAAATATTAAATATGACATTCTTATAGGCATATAAATTATATCTCATATATTTTTGTTATAACTAACATACCATAACTAGTTTATTTTGATATTCCTAAGTAATATAAGCCAATCTGAAGCTTATAAAATTGTCTAAATAGTTCACTGAATATTTAATTTTTCTTATCATTTTGCAAAAATGTATGCTGGAGAAGGGGGTTTTAATATTTTTGAACACATTCAAATTCTATCTGTTTTATACTAGCAACTTTAAAATTCACTTCATGTTTTGGAAGCTTCAGAAAAGTTAGGATACAACTTGGGAAATAATACAGAAACCAAGGAATGAAATGAAAATATATACTCACCCTACTCTTGAACTATATCATGCTGGGGATTCAAAGGTGTATATAATGAACCTTCTCTAAGAGAGTGCTAGACTGTGAGAGAGCTAGTCGTTAGAGCTCTAACAACAGAGAAAGGGAATAATTGTGTATAAAGCAGGGCGGTTCTAGTCAAGTGTGTAAGAGATACTTGGAAAACTTGCTAACACTAAGATTTTTGGGTGGTCTCCCAAAGATTCTATCTCAGTAGGTCTGTGGTGGAACCAGACAATTTGTATTTCTTATAAGTTTTCAGGTGAGACTGATGCTGCTGGTCCACTTTTGAGTAGCGATGTTCTAAAGATACTGCATGATGAACTCTATGTGCTTAAGAGACTTTCTACCATCTCTAGATTTCTCAGAAAAACAGAGAATAATTTAACATAAAAAATGGAGGCAGAAATATTTTTGTTTTGGAACAAAGACAAAATAGAGAAAAAAAAATTTTTTTTGCTTGTTTATTTTTGCGGCCCAAGGGACATAAGCCTCAGTGCATAGCTATCGTGGCCCAGACAAAAGATTTATGTGGAAATCATTACACACAGTAATGCTCAGATTTATACAAAAGAGAAAGCCTTCCATGTTTCCTAATATTTTAGTAACAAACCAAATATGTCTTATATTTATCTTGTAATTGGCTAGGAAAAGAGCTAAATAATCATGACTCTCTTTAAACACCTCAGTGCCTCAGTGCAAAATACTTTGGAAATTAGCTTGCTAAATTAATGCTAATTGTAATATGGATTTATAAGGTCCATGATCTGCTTTTGAAAAAACAAGGACACAATCAACCAAATATGAAGACTAAGAGGAGCATTCTTCAAGTAACACAAACATTTAATGCTAATTTTGAACTGAATCTAAAGACAGATCATGATTTATTCTGGCTGGCCTTTCATAGTTGGAGGCTATTTTGAAGATGATAACTTCCTTTTTCGTATTATTTATCCGTTCGTTCGTTCGTTCGTTTGTTCATTCATTCATTCATTCATTCATTCATTCATTCATTTTACTGAAATCACCACCAAGCACTGAACACAGGGCTCAATTATATATAATGAGGCACCCTCAAACTGCTATGTGTATTTGAGGGACAAACATATTCTAGTCAAAAATCACTCTGTGATAATTCAAGCAAAATGATAATGGTTCTATTTTCACTTACAGAAAGCAAATTCTGCCATTTCCAAATTGTTATTGGATGAGCCCAAGAAAGAAGGTATGCTCAGATCATTATATATTCAATTTAAATAGGTCAATCATTTTAATAAATCACAAGGAGGGATTAAAATGCAATAATAGTTAATGAATACTAGAAACTTATATAGTTAACATACCAAATTAAATGTTATAAATCTGGAGAATGATGCCAATGACTTTTAAATCAATTTGTTTCCAAAATATTATTCTTTTTTGTGCAACCAGATCTATGCCATCAATTTGCTGGAATAATATGCTCTATCTGCTGTGGCAGATTTAACAAAATTGGATCTAACAGTCTCTTAGCAACCACAGATGCTTTTAAAGTCCTTTGGCTATACTCTTTATGACACAGGTCAATGGTCTGAAGGGTTTTAGAGTGATGATGTTTAAGTCAATGTTTCATGAAATTTAATCTAAATTTATGATGATTCATAGCCTCAATTTAGACTTCTAGAGATTTTGAGTAGTTATAGTCTCCAATTACCCTCTAGCTCATTGCTAGAAATAATGGGTATGTAATGCTGGAGTAATGCTAGATTCTAAAATTTACCATTAATTAATAATGAAACACATAAAGGAAAGGTGATTTTTCAGACACCAATTTAAAGAATTAGTTGTAACTTTACTCACTGTCAAAATGCCAATGGACTTCCTATAGATATTCTTATTGATTTCGACACTTGATTTCAAATGCTGTCATTAGTAAATTTCCTTCTTCATTTGTATACTTGAAAGTACAATGATAAGCTGTGCAATGGTAGAGGTTTCTCTTTTCATCACTTACCTAGGTTCTGCCACATGCTGAAAATCTCACAACCCATTGTCACCCGCATGTCACCATACCTGAAATAGAAAAAAGCAATCCTGACACAGAACCTCCAGAACAAAGAAGTATTTGTGTTTCTGTAGAATACAATCTATCATTCTCAATTAAAAGGCAAGACATTTTTAATTAAACATGTCTAATGTACATGTCTTTATGTCTCTAAATCAATTCTTTACACAAATATTTCAGTAAAATGAATCTGTTTCATATTTTTTGATGCTATAATAATTTTGAATCCTGAAAGACATGGGATAAAAATGTATAAATAAGTTCAAAAATTGCTTATTGCCCTTTTGGTTACTGCTATCGCACTAGTGATTTCTAGTTATGGACCTTTTGGTTCGTGAGCCATTTGGAACAAGCACCTTCTAGAAGTTAACATTCCCACCTGAACACACCGTGGTACTTACTTTTCTAACACCTTTTTCTTTTTGGAAGGTGTGAACATCTCCAACTGCAGACACAACTGGTTTATAAAAATGACTGCAAGGTAAAAGTAGGAATCCCAGATCTAAAATAAGAGCAAGATATTTAAATATTATTGTTATAAAAATCTTTTTAGGTGAAGTGACACAATATCTTGGATTTACTTCAGAAGTGGCAAATGGTTGGAGGTAGAGTTGAAATAAGATTCAACTTGATAACAGTTAAGCGTGGAAATGAATATATGGAGGCTTATGATACTATTCTCTATTCTTTATAAATCTATGCTTTAAATTTTCTATAAAAAGAAGTAAACACATAAATAATGTCTACTTAGATATTGCTTCAAAGCTATATCCCAAGTTCCATAAGCTCTTGAGTAGGTGCTAAATGGAAGATGTTTTGTTTCTCTTATTTCTGTATCTCCTGTGAGACAGAGATATAAGATGGGTTACTTTATTCCTATATGAATTCAGTCTTGGAACTACTTTTAATGTAGAACTTTAAAAAATGCATATGCTTCTTTGGATATGCTAATTGCTTTCAATTCAGGCAATACTTAAAAATTCCCTGCCCAGAAAATCTTTTGAGTCTATATTTTCTTATACCAAATACGGAATAAGAAATAGATCAGAGTATAATTTCCTGAAATAAACATTAAAAATGTGTAGAACTTCTAATGAAAAAAAAACTATGTCTTAATTGATGCCATGTAAAATTATAGACAATGAGCTATAAGAAATATGGGAAAGACTATCTGTAATATGTAAAGAGTTCTGACAAATAAAAAAGAATATGATAAAGCCACAAGCTGAGCACAATAATACACATCTGCAATTCCAGATACTTTGGGAGTCTGAGGTGGGAGGATCTTAAGTATGATCCCAGCTTGGGAAATACAGTGAAACCCCATCTCCAAACAAACCAACCCAGGGAAAACAATAAACAAAAGTCAAGAACAGAAAATTCACAAAATATGAACTTCAATCAATAACTAGTAACTAGTGAATAACTAATAACTAGTAAGAAATTGCGAATTAAAGCAAAAAAGATGGTCCCCTTATCTAACTGTTGGAAAAAGCTGCCTCTTCTAGTGTTGGGTAGACTTAGGAAAATAGGTAATCAAATACAACTGACTTAACCTTTAACTCAACAATTCCACTAATAAGTATTTATCCAAAGAAACAATTAAGAACATATGCCAGATTTGGAATGTATCCAAAAAGGGTAGTTGTATAAGAATGAAATAGAAGATAAAGATATCGAAAACTAGAACTCTGATTTTGAAATTTTGACATACTATTATGAGAAATGATTTAAAGAAATATGCAATTATTCAAATCCCATTGGTTTTTATTGTATTTGTGCTTTTTTGATAGTTTTTAATTATCCATTAAGGGAAATTTTATTAAATGCTTATTTATGAAAAATGCTATTCAAAAAGGATAAGACACAGAGATGCTTAAACAGAACCACACTGAGAAGAGAATCCACCATCGAAAATTCCTATCTTTGTTTGCCATTTGAAAAAAATAGGAATCAAGAATTTTTAGGCACCTAGGTCTATCACTTCATATTATAGTATACAGAGAGCTCTGCCTGAAAAAAAGTTTTTAGAAATATTTCTTATTTTTTCATTGATTAGTTGTAAAACATAGGAAGCTAGAGGAGTAAGGAAATCAAGCATTTACTTCGTAATTTTTTCCTCATATAAACTACTTTAAAAAATTCTTGAAAACATTATGTTCTAATTCTTCTTTGTTATGCAACTAAATCATACAGAAAAGAGCAAGAATTATTACGTATACCAACAATAAAGATCTATCTTCTTTTAAGTACTATTGATCTCCATCAAGCTGATACTCATTATTATAGCTCTGCTTGTGTGCAAATAAAATGAAAGTGTTCTAATACTATTTACAGTTAAAATTAATATAGGGCAAGGAAATATATTAGTTAATCTTACTAAAATGCAATACAAATCTTTTAGCCCAAGTGAGACAGTCATCTAAATGGATACTTACTTTATAATCAAAGTTTTCATTTAAGAAGTTCTTGCGAAGTGCATCTGAGAGGTATAGAACTGTTGTAATAATCACACTAGTGAGAAAAAGAATAAATTATAAGTTGAAAACTTCATTTTAGTAAAAATCAATTAGTACATAAGAATAAAAAGTAACTAAGATAAAAGAAAAGCTCCTTCAGTAAACATGTGGGTGTCAGATAATTCACAAAAGAGACATCAGGCAGAAGGAAAAAATATCTCTCACTGAAGTTAGTTTCCTTGTAAAGCAATACACAAGAAGATTCAGGAATTCCAAACAGAAACACATTAATATCACAATGTCTTATAATATTTTTGTTAATTTTTGAACAAGGCAAAATGACTTAATGGAAACCTAACATTCCTTTTGATTATCATGAAAGAAATGGAACCTAAAAATGAAATGATAAAATATATGATGAATTTATTAGATGACTTTTTTTTTTTTTTTTGCTGTGCCCCATTTAAAGTTTAAGAGGTTATACAAGAATTATAAAAGGCAGTTTCACTCTCAGGGCAATAAGACTTCCAATAATTATAAAATTGTCTGTAATCCAGGACTAAACTGTGTAAAGCTGATAATATTCGAGCTACTCAGAGAAAGGAGTATTTCTAGTACAGGAGAAATCGAAGAAAGCCTAACCTAGGGGTCATATACAGCATATGTATCTTGCTGGGAGATTAATACAGGATTTGGTGAATTGTCTTGCCTAGTTCTAAAGTTCCATAATTTGTTCAAAATCTGCACATTTTTACCGCCAAAAAAGTATTTATTCAAAATTGAATTGTGTTTTCAACAGGTTAATTAAATGTTAGATACAGCATTATACTGAAATAATATAAATTAAGGAAAAACACAGAAATGGTGGATATTTAAAACTTCTTTGGCTTCTTCTGAGATGCATACACAACACAGTATTATGATGTGATAAGGCCCAAATTCTCATTATAGCATTTAGAATCAAAGGAGATGGCTACAAGACCCTAGGTAGAATGAAACAAAATGGCACCCCACCAAGTTTACACCTTGGTACTCATATAGATTAGAAGAATATTTACTAATAATATTTATAGTCTTTGAAAGACATGAATGTTCATTATTATCTGCTAGAAAATTTATTATTTGATCTTTTTCTTTCTGTACTTGGGATTAAACCAAAGGGCATTTAACCACTGAGTCACATCCCCAGCCCCTTTTTATGTTTTATTTAGAGACAGGGTCTTGATAACTTGCTTGAGCCCTTGCTAAGTTGCTGAGGCTGGCTTTGAACTTACTATCTTCCTGCCTCAGCCTCCTGAGCTTCTGGGATTGCAGGTATGCCACCAAGCCTGGCTCACTATTAGATCTTTCTTGTTGGTATGGAAACATTATAATAAGCTAAGGGGTTGGATGGTTGAATGTGGAAGTTCAATTTAAAGAAAGGGAAAGAGGAGTAAATCACCATTTCTCAGGGATATGCTCAACCATGAACAGACACTGTCTTACCTAGATGTCATTTATACCTCTGAATGAATCTTGGTATGAGAGATAATAAAGAAAAATCTATGAGACTAAGAAACCATTTCTGTGGTTTCTTCAGCCCCCAAAGTGGCAGCTATTACCAGTAAATTTCATATTAAAGAGACAAATTGCCTGCAAATTTGTGAAATTTGTGAAAGTGACAATTTTTCATAGACACTGGCAACACCAATAATGAAACTGAAGAAATGCTGATGCTGTTGGTCCCCAACTCAGCCTTTGAAGAACAAGGCTCTAGAGAGGCCTAAATCAGAAAAAATATTCCAACAAATTCTGCTTCAGCATTCTCCTGACTTCTAGAATTTTAGCAGAGTCTTATGGCTCTTTAATGCAGCATGCAGTCCTTATTTCTAGACTCTTATTGGGGCATCTTTATCATTGAGCACAAAGGGGCTTAGGCTTATAAGATTTTCATGAGTTTTGGAAAATATTGAGACCTGAAAAATGTTATGGAACCAAATTGTGAAATAAAAACTAAAAAAGGGGGGTTTAATTACATGTCCATAGACTATATTGATGAGTTTCATTAATTTAACATTTATGCAATTTTTACTATGTTAAAAATTACAGGTCACCTTTTAATATTTCATAAGAATCCTCAAATTTGCATAAGTGCTAAGAAATCATAGCCAATCAAAATTAAGTGATTGCCTCCTAGGCCAAAATTTAAGAGATAAATGTAAAAAGTGATTTTAATATTTTTCTTCAGCAAAAATATCTACTGTGGCATGTAGTTTAATAGGCATCCAAAAGTAAGACTTCTCAGGGCTAGAAAGATCTTAAAAATGACTCTACTTCAAAAGATTCTCATTTATGCCTATAATTTTCAGCCCAAGTTCCAGAGGTAGCTTCCAGAGCTTTCCATGGTAACTCAGTATGGAAATACTGCTTCCTAGCAGCCAGGTCTCTAAGCCAGTTGCAAGTATTCATACAGCTTTCCTCCTTCATTGTGCTGAGTAACTGTGGAGTCAGGTGAGGGAAGTTTTTTTTAATTGACTTTTTCTAATAAATCTAGAACCATGTGGCTCCTCTGGTTTTATTTATTTTTTTACTCATGACTCAGTTTCTGTATATGGGATTATTTCAAATCTTGGTGGTCCAACTCAACAGCCAAGAATAGTTTGCAATCTGCTCCCACAAATGATCAAATGACTGATTTCTGCCACAGAAACACAGGCACAAGAATCACTTCTGAGAACCACAATTTGTGGATGCAGAATGATAAAATCTATACAGGAAAGAGGAATTGATACACAGGAAATAAGTTACTGCTTCAAGATTTTCCAGTTGTCATCTCATTCTGTGATTCAGGAATTATCTTCAATCATCCACTCCCACCTTCCCCGGAGAAAACTCATCTCCTATAATTTATCCTTTTGAAAGCTATTGCATCCTGGTAATCTCCTCAAGCCCAAGCCCATTGCCAAAAATCATATATAGACTTAGAGAAACACCTTATGGATGAAGTGCGTATTAGCAATGTTGATGTTTACACAGTAAAAACCTAAGAAAACCTAAATCTAGAATATGGCTTCATTACAATCTGGCACTTTAATTGACGGCAACAGCAATCAACACAGACACTGAGGGCAGAGGAAAATCTTGGACAGTCACCAAGGGAATTCATGGGAGACAGCAGTTCTCAAACTGCGGCATGCGTGAGAAAGTTGCAAAGAAACTTCAGGGTCTCACACCACCTCTGAGCAGTGGGTTTACGATGGGGTCTGGCCAGGTGATTCTGATGCCTGTGGTCATCCTTTCCCATTTAGAGGAATGGTATACAGACAGAAGATACAGAAGGATCAGAATGTAGAGAACAAAGACATCTGGGGAATTTGGCCTTGTTTCCCACTATACTGCCATGGGCCTAGGCTAATAATTGTTGGTTGGATGACTGAAGCCTCCTCACTACATTTGAATCTATGGTTTATTATACTGATTTACCAGATTAGGTAATCTTAAAGTGTGAACTCTGTAAAATGTTTAATATATCAGATATTTTAAAGGACACACTGAAATTAGGCAAAGCTTATGAGAGGAGGGCACAGCCTCAGGCAAAGCTGGGAAGGAGGAAACTAGTGACTTTGTTTCCAATCCATGAATCCAATCCATGAAGCATGCAGTGTGGAAGAGGCAAAGAGAATTAGGAAAGACTGTAGTGATCTGCAAACTCCACTAGGAGGCACTGGTAGAAAATCAGTCACGTGGCAACAGTCTTTATTTGGACATACCAGGCCAAAGCCTTAAGAAAGCCTTTCCTTTAGGTTTCCATTCTCTCTACTTCACTGGGAGATGCAATGTGCATGGAATTCATGCCAAAGTGTTTGTAATAACTATTTATGTTAGATATAATTCTCACTGTATTACATAGTTTTGATAAAGATCAATATCTTATTCTTCCCTCTCTCACTTATAAGGTTTATTACACTTAAAGAATAACTATCCTTAGGAAAAACAAAAATGAAGCAACATCCAGTGTCAGTGGATGGCCAATGAATTATCTATTCCACCGTTCAACTTTTCAGAGTCCCTATCACATCCTTTGCCTTCCACCCTGTAACTATGGACAATGCTCCTTGTTTGAGCACAGCTTTCCTTGTGTGTACCAGGTAAGTTTTCTTTGTGTGCTACTCTAAGTGTGGAAAGCTTCCTTCATTGAGAAAGTCTTATTGAAGGAAGCAATGTCAGCTGAACTTGACTGCGTGCTTGCACAGTGGATTTATTTTTAGGTATGAGAACACTGTGGACAGAGACACACAGCAATACTACTGTACTCCCCTCATTAACCCAAAGGTGTTTCTGTATTAACTGGGCCATTCCTATTAGTAAATCTAAATGCTACAATATCCCCTATTTTAAAAAAAGAATTCTGGTCCTCATGTATCCTTCCAGATATAGCTTCATTTATTCCTTTTTATAGCAAAGTTCTTCTAAAGAGCTGCCTATAATTACTGCTATCAGCTTCTCAACTCTTGAATTCACTCTAATCAGGCTTTCATCTCCACCATGCCACTGAAATAGCACTCGTCAAGGTCACCAGTATTTATTTACATTGCCAAATCCCAAGGTTAGCTGTTGGACCACATCACCCCCAACCTCCCAACAGCTCTAGATGTTGGTACGCTCCAGGGCTCACGCCTAAGTCATTTCCTTTTCTGTCTACACTTTCCTCCTGTGTGCTCTCATTCAGTTCCATGGCTTCAAATCCTAGCCATATGCTGATGACCCTCAAATTACATCTTCAGCTGCAATCTCTCCCCTGAGCTCCACCCAAGCACACGTTAGCTTTCTCTTCTACATCTCTACCTGGATATCTAACAACATCTTGAACTTAGGTTCAATGTAGAATTCTTCACCTCATTCATCACCTTACCTACTCCTCTTTCATATTTTTCACCTAAGAGAATGGCACCACAATTTGTCCTTTTGCTCTGGCCAAACAAATTCCAAGGACATGTTTTCTTTCTCCCGTGCACATCAATTCATCTGCAAGTTCCACCATCCTTATGGTTGAAATCAACCTTCTCACTACAGTCCTTGCTAATCACATGGCCTGCTGAGAGCCATAGCCAAGTAGGAATGACGCATGGCAATTTCCTTGTCAGCCTACCCAATGTTGCTTAGAGGGAGGACTCTCTATTGTGGAAATGGGCTTGCCTTGGACCCAGGTCATTTGCAGTGACATTGCATGAATGTTTGAGAAAGGTGACCCTGCTCAAGGACCAGGGTGGATCCAGGTTTAGGGAGGATCCTGCTGGATTAGGGTGGTTCAGGTTTAAGGTGGATCCTGCTGGGAATAGGGTGTATCCTGCTGCCTCAAGCGCCCACTCCTTGAGTTCCTGTTGAGTTCTCCTGGGATTCAGAGGGTATTTGGGATGCGGAGCCTGGTGGAGGTGTGGATTTTCCCCAGAACGTGTGTGTAGAGTGCCGGGGTGAGAGTTCGGGAATAAAGAATTGCTGTTTGAATCTACAAGGCTGTGAGTGGCTCGTGATTTTGCGCCCAGCCAGACTGCGGCAATGGTCAAACTACCATTTTTTCTTAACTGGATGGCTGCAGCAAGCTCATATCTGTTGCTTTCTGGTTTCTCCTGTGCTGATAGTTCTCTGTACCTACCAATATCTGGGCCCTGTCTTCTCCTTTCAATTGCAGTGGATACCTCCCCATACTAACAGTCTTTCAGTTCTTGGAGTGAGCCTCGTTCCCTCTGACCACAGGGTCTTTTCTATATACAATTCCTACACATTCTTCCTTCACTGTTTGCCTGCTACCTCTTCCTTTAGCTTTCAGCTCAAGTTTCACTTCTTCATGAATGTCCCTTCCCTTCCAGTCCAGAACAAAGTTCCTTTCATAAATACACTCAGAGACATATGCTTTTTAGCTTTACAGTGTTTATTTTACACATTGGGCACTGGGGCAGGGGAACCTGCTGCATAGATGGGTCAGTGAATGAATGGATGACCTCCGCTAAGAATCCATGATTTAACAAATTATTTATTTGCTAGATACACCTGTTGGAAACCCAAATTGGTTCATGTAAGACATGTTTGAGGCCAACCTGCATATAAGACAAAACAAAGTGAGGATCTGAAATTGGATGCGAAGGGTGAGAAAGTTTTTACTGTCCTTAGCAGGCAAGTGTGTTGCAAGATTTATCTCCTTGAAAATATGCATGAAGCTGTGACTTTATTTTTGTACTTCATTTCACAATGTGGACGGGAAGGGGGTGGAGAGACACAGCTCTCAAAGTGTCCTGTATTTTTGGTATTCATGTTCCTTATGTTCCTTCTTTTTCAGATTGAGTGGTTATCCTCAACCAAAACATCTACTAAGAATTTAACAGTGGGCACAAAGTAGCTTTGCAGCATGCAAGAAAGAGGAAATGTCTTGTCCTTATGGAATTTAGACTGGACACACTTCCTGTGCTATACAATTTTAGATATTTAGGTGGAAATAAACAAAAACAATAGAATTCACCAGGTGTTTGGTCTCAGGACTTCACATAAAGCAGGAAACCTATAAGATTTGGGACAACACAGCTGTGGATGAAAATTAAAGGCATTTACTTGAAAACATGGGGAAAAGGGGCCAACACCTGAGGGATGAGTCATTCAGATGAGTTTAAGGAAAGGGCAACTGACTTCCCAGCTAGCTGCTATCGGTTGGCCACATTCTAAGCACACAAATGGGTTAATAAAATCGGAAGTTTGCATTTGAATGTCTCTCTCAGAAGCACTGATCAAATGTTTGTCTAAGAAAGTTAATTCTGTGGGAAAAAAAGGTAGTCAGCTTCAAAGATGTAGATCTAGTTCCTGCAACTTGCTTCTACTCAGTTTAGCAAAGAGGAATTTGTTTCCTTTCCAGCATATGCTCTTTAACATATTTAAAATATTTTAGCATATTTCAGAAATATGTATTTTCTATCAATATTATGTATAGGTTAATAGTTTTCACAAAAAAGACATATTTGAGGGCTTATTTCTGCACTATATTGCATTTACAGAGCAAGGCTAAGTCTTACATAGTTTCATAATTTGAATGGGGAATGGTTTGTACAGTTAAATGAGGAGAGCAGATTCTGGTAGAAGAGTACATGGTTTGTTCTACCTTGGCAGGTGCCTAATTCACGGAGTCCTTTCATGGCCAGCAATCTGCCCTCAGCATTCACTTAGTGGCAACATAATGGAACTGTTGCACTGAGCCAAGGCTTTTTGTCTTTTTTTTTTTTTTTTTTTTTAGCAAAAGCAAAAGACTTTTGGGGTTTGTTATGGGGAAAGTTCTTGTTGCACATCTTTATAAACTGAGTAGGGATTTTTAGGTGGGGCAGACAGAGACAGTATTTAATATCAAAAAGTCATATTCTTGTCATGATTTTCAGCAAGCTCAAGTAAAGCCTGTGTACCTAAGGAAGAAAATGTTAAATGTACTTTCACTTTGAATTTCTGCTACTGGAAATTCTAATTTAAACCAAAACGTTCTTTGGCACATGGAGCAGAACAACCAAATGCTGATTTTATGTGATGGTGACACTGGCTACCTGAATCACTTCCCATCTGCTTCCCTGGATCACTTCATAGTCCTCTACAAGTTCCAGAATGTTTGATCTTTATTAGCAAGTCCAGATGTATGAGCAAAAGCTCCAACTTCAATCTGTAGCATCCAGACATTCAGAGGAATTGATATTGATTCTACTCACAGATATCAAAACTAAAATAAATGCTAAATTCTGAGGAGAGCTGTTTCACTACTCTCAATTAGTCTTCAAAATGGAAAAGCTGCTTTACTTATGTAAAATATAATATGCCATATTATACTATTTGTTACTTCACAAAGTTTTTAACACATCATGTTAACACCTCCAAGTCTATAAATGTGTACTGCAGCAGAAGCCATATGAAGCATATCTAATCAAAACTGAACCCTGTGTTCTGGGGCTCTCAGCACCATTGTACCTGGGCATCTGGGGAAGACATATGGTGACCTTGGCCTATGGATAGATGTGTTGAGAATCCAACCTTCATCCTGAGGATGAGGGAGTTGGCATTTGGAAAAGAGGAAAAAGGAGAAGCAGGCAAGCCTGGGCTTGGAAAGTAGGAATGTTAATGAAATAGAGTAAATAATGAGTTTGGAAGTGAAGACCAGGTTAGTTTTCTTTCTCCTGAGACTAGGAAGACAGGAAGCTGAGATAGCATATGAACTCATGACACTGTGTTCTATGGAAACGGTGCCTAACATTTTCTCACTGTACCCTAATCTCCTGTTCTAGCTCCTATTCGTTCAAATAATGACCTCAGATCATTTTATGCTTTTGCTGGATATACCTTGTATCAGGTAATTTTATCAACTCTTAGGGACTCAAATATTAACTTTACACTGATAATTTCCCAAATGTCTGTAACTAGTTCTGAACTTTCCTCAGAGCACTATTTTCAGTTCCTTAATGGCCACATTGCTTGGATAAATAAAATGAATTCCAATCTTCATATGTCTAAAGCAAGGATCATGTCTCATTTCTGGAGATCAGCAGATAGTAGATGCTTAATGTATTTTGTTGGGGGTAAAAAGAACTAAGAAGGATGAGAAATGACTCAAATGTCCAGCAATAGGGAACTAGCTAAATAAACTATGGTATATCCATTCAATTGGATATTATTCAGTCAGAAATGAAAAAAAAAACATAAAAGAATGAGAGGCTTTTTTATCTCCTGCGATTTATAAGTATAAGAGCAAGTCCAGAGCAATATAATGCTGTCTGCTTGACTATGTATAAAGGAACTGTGGAAAAACTTTAAGAAACAGATAAGAATGCTTGCTACAGGCAGGCTGTTCTAGGGGGTAGAAAAGATCCAGTAGGTAAGGAATGGGATTTCTCAATGCATACTCTGTAATATTATTTGATTTTTGAATGATATTAATACATTCAAAACAAAATAATAACTCAAGAAAAATTGTAATAATAATAAAAAAGAACCCTAGGATTTAGAGAATTAAAACTGGAAATAAAATAAAAAGGCCATTCTTTACTCTCCTTTTCCTCTATACATTGACCCCCAATTATCATGAACTAAAATGTCTTACTTGTTAGCAACCAAGCGCATGACAGTCCAGTCCTTTGGAAACATCTCTGGGCGTATCAATATTCGGAACACAGTAAATATCTGCAGCAGGAAATCCTTGGATAAGGAGAAAATACAACATTTTACTGATTGAGCATAACTGTCAATACACACAGAGAGACAGACAATACTGCTGTTATCATTTCTAAAGCAATGACAGAGAAGAAGGGCACCTTTCTTTCATAATATACTCAGGAGCAGGAATATCACTTTCCCACTTTCAGCACCCAAAGCCATGGGCCTGCCGCTCTGCCCAAACACTGTCTTCTGTTTTTCTGCTTGGGCACAGTAGAAATGACTTTTCATTTGTCTTTACAAGCTCTAAAACTCTAGGTTCTAGAAACTACTTGGAAAATTAGCAGGCAAATATATTCTGTTTCTTCTATTATAGCATCTTAAACATCGGAACTTTTCAACCCAAGGAACAGTAAGCTGTACCGGTTCAGTTAAGTAAGCACTGAAATTTAAAGTTATGTTCATCAAAAAGCCTCTTATACAAAAACCTATTTTTTTAGACAGTGTTCTCAAGATGCAGTTTTAAGAGAATGTGTGCAGGTTATAGAGTCTGAGTGAATTTTCCTGAGTGTGCTATGCAGATTAAATTCAAATAAAACATGTGCTAAGTTAAGCCCAGTGACTGGATGAATTTGGACATTGTCCTTATAGAGACCCCAAGCCATAGAGTAGTGGCATTACTGGCATCTTACTCTGAATCTGACCACCTGACACTGCCCCTCCCCATTTCTTCTTTCTCTTTTTATTTATTTAAAATTTTTCTGTTTAAATTGACAGACAATATTGTATATTTTCATCATGTACATGATGCAGATGGTTAAATCTAGCTAATTAAAAATGGATGACCTCAGGTAGTATCATTTTTGTGGTGAGAACACATAACACTCTTGACAAGAAGCTATCCTTAGATGTGGACACGTCACTCCTTTAAACATTGCAAAAGTGGGGGCCCCAAATGCTTCAGCACATGAAACTTCCAAGGGGAACAGGGAAGTAACGCGGTGTAGGGAGTGAAATGGAGCCCTCCATACTCAAAGAGGAGCTGGCTCAGCTAGCTTTGATTTAGATTTGTTAACCAGAAAACATAAAGGTTTTTTTTGTAACCTTAAGTGATTTTAGAAAAATATATTCCTCTAACAATCTAATTGAAGGCAACAGCATGGTGTTGCTTACCAAACAAAAAGTGACTCAAAACAGAAGATTTTTATTTATCAAACCAACAACACATTATGTTAAATATATAAGCTGCTTAGATATCAGATTACAATTGTCACTCAAATCAACAGAAGATAGAAAGAATCTAAAAACTGAGAACCATGTGTTAGCTTTTCTTTTTTTTCCTCCACATTCTAACAGCTTCGATCAAGCCCATAAATATTGTGACAAGAATTTATTTTAGCTTCTTTGGCATCAACACACATATGTTGATATGTAGTATGCGCCATGTGGAAACATTCCCACTAGGTCATCTGCTTTTAAATGGCCACACAGATCCTGCCCATGTCTCAAAAATGAATGGAAGCAGTGCTTCCAAAACATGTTTCACTGCAGGTCAGATAATTTTGTGGGCTGGGGGAAAATCTTAGTGGGTGAGTGAGTGCTTAGCATGCACAAGGCCTAGGTTTCATACTTAGTGTCCCCCCAGATTTTTTGGAGGGGAAACACTTCACATTCTAGCCTTCCCTTGAGATAGTAGATTATTAGCATAATATAATTATGAACGACCCTTCTAAAAGCATTTCTCAAAGTTGTTCTAATGGTTTTTCAGTTGCTTCTTTTTGAGTTTCTCAGACATCAATACATATAATCACTCCAAAAAAATGAGTTTGCATTTGTCTTTCAAAGGTTTCCTATTTTGTTGTTTGTTTAAACAGATATTAAAGAAGAGTGAATGTAGGGAATCATTTGTTTTTCCTAGTCTACAATTAGGAGTTCAAATAAATTCTAAAATATAGAAGTTTCATCCTCTCACCTCACAACTTAACAGCACTGGACTCTGGCAGCACCCTTGGTTGTGATGGTTGTATGTGTGTGTGGTGGTTTTGTGTGTGTGTGTGTGTGTGTGTGTGTGTGCATGAGCTACTGTGATGTCAGTAGCAAAGTCGGGTATAAGGGTTGGCTAAAGGAGATAAGACACTTATCCTACAGGCTAGCAACCTCAGTTGTTCTTGCGTAGGGCTGGGGACAAAGGAAAGGCTATTCCTGACACAGGAGGTGGGAACAGACAACTTGTTTCCGTGCCATCCCATTTTAATATTCCCATTTACCTCTCAGAATAAAAGACAGCATGCGACATCATACCCATGCCTATATATTGACATAAATCTTTATTTCTCCTAAGAAAACTTTTCAGTGTCTTGAGTAGCTTTCTAAGGTACCCACTTAAATGTTATTTACATTTATGGAACCAAAAACAACCATTAGAAGAAGAAGGGGCGAGAAAACATTAAACTGAGAATCAAAAAAATCTAGATTTGAATTCTAGCTTAACTCCTGTGGCAATTTTTTTTTTTAATAACTGAGCTTTCATTCTTGGAAAATGTGAGGGCTTTAGGGTTAGTATGATTACCTATCTATTCCTACCTATTCATACAGTACCGTCTAATTTTTCTTATTTCTCAACTGTAGGCTAATGTTTTGTCTGACCTCACTGAGATGACACAAACACTGCCCATTGTGGTACTCACATACAATTTAGTCCAGAGAGGGTTTGTCAACTCCCAAGCAACAGATTTCATTTCATAATAAGTTCCAAAATTTTAAAGCACTGAGACCTGAATGCTAGATTCCACAGCACCTCCTTCTTCCTGTCCCCAGTACAGTGCTATTTCCTTTCTGTCCTCTTAAGTACTTTCCAGCTCCAGTCATTTCACTAAATATGTGGTTTTGCATAGACAGACACAATTATTTTGTTCATCTGACTAAGCTACAGATTCTTTTTATAGATTAATAAAAAGAACACTTCCATGTCTATAATATTCCAATTTGGACAGCACACAGAAATGTGTTTCATATGTCACCATTTAAAAATTGGCAGATCTGGAGCAGCTTCTTTTTTCCTGCTTATTTATTTTACATAGCACAACATGGCAATTTAATTATATTATTGTCATTCTTTAAATCAGGGTTCAAAAGGAAAAAAAGAAAAACTTTGGAGAATTACTTTTTTGGTAACAGAAGAGATTCAAAGAAGACAGTTTATATTAAAATATTCCCAAACAACACAAAGGTCTGTGTTGAAATAAAAACGAAAGCAGTAGTTGTTGCTATGATTTTAGGAATGATCACTGACATTTATTCATTTATAAATCCTGGGTGCTTTATTATGTGCCTGGCACCATGTTAGATGCTGGGGACACTTGGTTAAAGTGTGATATACTATTTTATTTATTCATACATCAAGTATTTATGGAGTGCCTGTGACATGCCACACCACACACCACAGCAACTAAATGCTTTCTTTGCTTTGTGGCGTTCACATTTGGTGGGAGAGATGAATGTTAATCTAATAAACACACATATGTGTGCATGCTCCATGAAAGAGGGTACATCCGAGGGCCAGATATTCCATGCAATAGGAGAATGCAAGAGAAGGGATAGTAAATGGGTTTGAAGCCGGGTGCAGTGGCATACACCTGTAATCCCAATGGCTCAGGAAGCTGAGGCAGGAGGATCATGAGTTCAAAGCCAGCCTCAGCAATGTGGAGGTGCTTAGCAACTCAGTGAGACCCTGTCTTTAAATAAAATACAGTGGACAAGCACCCCTGAGTTAAATCCCTCTGTAACACCCCCCCAAAAAAGAAATGGGGTTGAGAGATAAATAAAGCAGGATAAAGAGAGGACAAATAAATAAAAGACAAGTAAACAGGGAGAGATGAAAGATAAAATAAAATTTCATAACTTTTCTATGGTAAGGAGTTTGGAATTTGCTCTAAGGGCAATGTGGAGACATTGAAGGTTTTTATGCAAAAATGTAGAGGGTAAACTTTTGTGTTTTAGAAAGATTTTATGACTGTATACATGACATTAATAATATTAACAATAGCACAAGACAGAAATTAGGACCATGAAACCAAAGAGGCAAGACACAGAGAAGACATGAGTTAAAACATCCAGAAAATAAAACACCAGTAGGCAGGCAGACAGATAAAGAACAATGAATAGGACAGACCTTTCTAGAAACACTGTTCCTTCACTTATGATTTAGACCATCATTAGGTATTATTTTTAAAATTCATCATAAATTTACAATGTGTAATATCCTTGATATGGGGTTTGAATTCAATTAAAGGGTGCTAATAATCCTTATCACATTAAAATTTACATCCTTAAAGTGGAATCTCTAAGTATATTATGCAAAATAACTCCCCAAATGTCTTTAATCTTTGAGAATGACATAACTATTTCTCTGTAATCAATATATTCAAATAAAGACAATAAGTCAAAATAATTACATGGAAAAAGATGGCTTATCGAAGCAGGCAGAAATCTATTCAGAGGGCTCATTCATTCAACAAAGATTTAAAGTTCCAGACTCTGTGCTTAAGACACAAAAACATGGTCCCTGCTCTTAAGGAACCCACAGTCACTGAAAACAAAATAAATGGCAAATAATCAGGATGCTGTTAAGTGTTAAGAGAGGGGTGGACTACAGTCTCTGGAGGCTTCATCATGAAAGTAAAATCTGAACTGGATTTTGTAGCATGAGTGGAAATCAGGGAAGAGATGGATAGGATATACATTTCATAAACGAAGTAGTAGGGGAATAGGCATTTCAAATGTAAAGAACAAAAGGAATCAGAGGTATCGGGAATTATAAACATGCTTTGTTAGGAATATATAAGTAGTTTTAAGTGGCTGGAGTAGAAGTTCTTTGAAAGGAAATAGAGGATAATATGTTGGAAGGTAGATTCAAGATAGGGACAATGTGATAAGGAGACTTTGTTCTCTAGGTAACAGGAAATGCTCAGTTTTAAGGCTGGATCAAAGTTTGATCAGATACATTTTTTTTTTTTTAAAGCTAGTGGGCCAGCGAGCTTTAG